AATAATATATTTAATATATTTAATTTTTTTTTGGTGAAAAAGGAAAATATTTTATATATTTTAACTTATACGTAAAACACATGTGAGATAATTTGTTTTTTAAGATAAATTACAGTAAATTAGTTGAATCCAGCAATTTCATGCATCTCAAGACAATACTGTTTGTGCCAACCGGGCCTGTGGCCAATTGGTTGAACCCAAGCCTTAAGGGTTGGGTGAGGCGGAAGTCAATGCTTCGAGCTCTGCTATCATCGTAAACTCCACCAATTTGCGACCTAATGGTCGCGCGTCTCTTCTAAGGGAGGTGGATTGTTCACCTGGGAAGTCCCAATTGCTAACAACTGACCCTACTAACCTCCTAACCATTACCCTTATCAAAAAAAAAAAAAAAACAATACTGTTTGTAGGACCCATATTTTTGAACATTCAACATTATTTGTTGGGCCATTTTTTTTGGACATTCACCTAAAGCAAACCGCGTCTTGATGGCATCATCAGCTTTATTGCACGCCTATCATTCTGTCGAGGCAATGACCATCATAGCCCTATTGAATAAAAACAAAACAATACCACTACAATATATTCTAGGAAATTTGCGGTGGTTTAGAGTTTTTAAAATGAGAAGTAAACTTTAATTCCCAACACTTGCAGTGTCCCAAGCAATAGAACTTGTGTCTTTAGTCTATCCTTGGACAGGGTTTTCTTCAGTTCACATTTGCCAAGCATCTTCCGTGAAATTTCCAGCTATTATTTGTATCATCTCCTCTTCTCTTTAGCCGGCTCACTCTTGTATCATCTCACAGAATTAGCTCTGCAATTGAACTGATTTGCTGCTACTTGTAATGTTCTCGGCTTAGCTAATTAATTTGGTTATCAATCAGGGTTTGTGTCTTCTACAATCTCTTTGGTAAAATTTACAGGTATACCATCTAGATCTTCAATCATGATTCAGTTATGTTTTCTTTGAAATATAAAATGAAAATATTTAAATTTTCTTATAAATACATGCCCTTCAAACAAAGATTCTTTGTTTTAGTTAGAATATTCATTAGTTTTATGGATTTTTTTTTTTCAAATTGTTTGCTTTTATCAAATTAATTAGTAGCTACTTAGTTAATAATGTGAGATTTTTTTTTTTTTTTTTTTTTTTTGTACTTCTAGTAAACATACAAGTGTCTTCAAGTGATCTTTCTGAATCATCATATTTGTCTTCCAGGAAATATCCATTGCATCCCTCTGGTTATAGATAACTAGCCATGAAATATTTAAGCTAAGCGGTTGCTACTTTTAATTTGGTTATGGACATCCATTTCTTCAATTTTGCCCACTAAACCTGCAGGTACACTATTTATCCTTTTCTTTAATCTTGATTATCTTATAATCTTATTGATGTATTAAGGTGGCGTGCCCAAATTCATCTCTTAACTATAGTTAACAAATCCAGTTACTTTCAATACAAAATGGAGACAAATGACCTCACTAAGTACTTGAATAGGACAAATAACTAAAAGTTTAATATGTAACATTAGGCAATGTTATGACTTTGTTAAAGTCTTACTAAATATATGTTGTTAAAATATTTTGCAATCAATCTCTCAAACGGAAGTATCACCTTAAACAAACAATTTTAAATCAATGTTCTCCATTGTTGCATAGCTTTTATTAGGTCGGTGAAAGAATCCCTAAGTCATCCAGAGTTCAACTAAATTATTTTTTTCAAATTCAAGATTCTTTAGAAATAAAGAATATTGAGAAAAACTTTCCTCAAAAGAGAAAGTAAATGATTGAAATTTATTTTTAGAATAGATAAAAAGTAAAAAAATAAATGATTTAAAGAGAATAAATTTTTTTGATGCTGATACTAAGATGTTAATTTTGAATTTAATTTATAAGAGATATTATTTATTATTAGATCTAACCTTTAAAATTATTATTGATCACTTTATAATAAAGTAACTTTGCAACTTTCTCATTGTTTTTGTAGATTCATTCACAGGCATTTGCCAAGCATCTTCCAAGAAATTTCTGGCTAAAATTTGTACACGTTCTCTCTCCTCTTCTCCTTGGCTGACTCACTTTTTATCATCTCACAGAATTAGCCTTGCAATTGAATTGAATTGATTGCTGCTATTTCTAATTTTCTTGGCCTGTCTGATTTGGCTGTCAATAAGGGTCCATTTTCTGCAACTTCTTCAGTGACACCAGGAGGTATACCATTTAGATCTTTAATTTAATTTCAGTTCAGTTATATTCTCTTTGATACTGATCCCAAGATATTGACTTTAAATTTAATTTATAAGACCACATTATTTATTATTAAATTCAACCCTTGAAATTATTATTGATCACTTTATAATAAAGTAACTTTGTAACTTTCTCATTGTCTTTGTAGATTCATTTACTGGCATTTGCCAAGCATCTTCCAAGAAATTTTTGGCTATAATTTGTACAAGTTCTCTCTCCTCTTCTCCTCGACCGACTCACTTTTTATCATCTCACAAAATTAGCCCTACAATTAAACTTATTTGTTACTATTTCTAATTTTCTTAGCTTGCTTATTTAGATATCAGTTAGGTATTTTCTACAATTTCTTCAGTGAAGCCTGAAAGTGTGTCATTTAGATCTTTGATCTTACTTTAGTTATATTCTCTTTGAGATATAAAATGAAAAAGATCTGAATTTTCTTATAGATGCATGTCTTTATTGACGAAGAAACTTCATTTTAGTTAGAATGCTTGTCAATTTTAAATTGTTTTAGCACAATTTGTTAGATTCTTTGAATGGATTTATCTACCTTGTATTCTTAGGGTACATGTTAAAATATATTAAATGTGTTACTTTATAATAGATTTTTATAAAAAATGTAAAAGTAAAACATTATTTTTGACACCAATATCACTTAGATGATTTTAATTGTTGTTGATAAACTTAAAGTTAATTTTTATTTTTTTTATATAAATTAATTATAAAAAAATATAGTTAATGTTTTTTTAACAGTTTTTTTAAAGATACAAATTAGATAAATCCTTTTTAAATCATCTTTCTTTATCTATTTTTCTTTTTTAAATGGTCTGCTTCTACCAAATTAATTAGTAGCTACTTAATTAATAATGTGAGTTCTCTTTTTTAAGTACTTCTAGTAAATATACAAGTATCTCCTCGAGATCTTTTCTAAATCATGATTGTCTTCTAGGAAATATGCATCGCATCCCTCTAGTTATAAATAACTAGACTTGTGATTGGCTGCTACTTTTAATGGACATCCGTTTCTTCAATTCCATCTACTAAATTCACCTTCTAATTATAGTTGATAGATCCAACCTTCTACACGAAACATAGGTAAATTGCCCTACTAATTAATTGGATGAGACAACTAACTAAAAAAATTTTTGGTGCAAGACATGTAATAACATCATGCCACATCATTACTTTGTTAGAGACTTATTAAATATATGTTGTTGAAATATATTTTGCAACCAATCTCTCTCATACAAAATTATCACCTTAAACAATGTTAAATCAGGCACTGCATCTTACATTTTGCAAGATTAATTACCAATGTCCTTAATTTTTATTGGGTTTTTATCAGGTAAGTGAAAGGATTCCTAACAACTAAATCATCTTTTTCAAAGATAAAATTTTTTGAAAATATTGAACAGTTAGGAAAATATTTATTTAAAGGAGAAGACAAATGATTGAATCTTATTTTAGAATAGATAAAAGATGAAAATAGTATATTTACCCATTTACTTCTAGGATTACTGAAATATATTTTTATCTATCTTAAAATAAATCTCCTCTTATACTTTTAAATTGAATGAAGTTAGCTTTTTTATATTTCAGTTGAAATAAATTAATCAAAATTTATCACATGACATGTCATCATTTTGTCTTTCCCCCTCCATACCTAGGTCTTTCTTTTATATGTTATATTAGGAAACAGTTGCACAATTATTGATCACTTTATAATAATAAACTAATTTTGCACATTTCTTGTTGTAACCTCATTGGATATCTTTTTGCAGAGTCATTCATTGGCATTTTCTAGGAAATTTCGAGCTATAATTTGGACAAGTTCCCTCCTCTTCTGCTTAGCTGGCTACAATTTTTATCATCTAGCAAAATTAGCTTTGCAATTGAATTGATTTGCTGCTACGTCTAATTCTCTTGGCCTTGCTGATTTGGTTATCATTATCCATTTTCTGCAATTTCTTTGGTGAAACATACAGGTATGCCATCTAAATTTTCGATCTTGATTAAGTTATATTCTCTTTAAGATATAAAATAAAAATATCTAAAATTTTTAACAAATACATATAACTTTATTGGCAAAGACTCTTCACTTTAGTTAGGATATTCTTCATTTTTAAATTATTTTTAAATTGACTTTATAAGCTGATGGGCCGCCACTTGTAATTTGGTTATCCTCATTCATTTTTTCAATTTCTTATGCTAAACTCACATGTAACACTAATTATCTTGATCTTCAATCTTGACTTTATTATGTTCTCATTGATGTATAGAGGTGAATGGCCTAAATCCATCCTTCAAGTGAGTTTGTTTTCTAATGAAAAATCCAATTAATTACACTAGTAGAAAAATTGACCATATAGACATACAGTGTCAAATAATTAAATATAGGATATCAAAAAATTAATTGACACAAAATTAATAAATTTATCTTTATTATCCTTAAAACTCAATTTTGGTTTAAAAATAAGTTATTTTAATTATTTTAAAAAAATTTATTAAAGCGATATAATATTGGAGTTTTTTCTTGAAATTTTTTAAAAAACCCCATTGAAAAACCCTTTTAACATAAAATAAATAAATAAATAAAATGTGATATTAAATAACTAATTTATAAATATTTTAATAAATTTAA